GGATAACCCAAACCTCCTTGCCATCTAGAGCACAGGTTGGACATCTCGTGCCGGGGACCTAGTCGGCATTAGCAGGTATAGAAGAGATGCCAGGAGCTTTCTAGCTCACCTTAGGTCCCAGCATGATAGTGCCAGCAGGCAAGACCGGAGGGTATGAAGGAACAGGCTGCTCCGGCAGGAGAGGGAAGATGGGGGCCTGGATGCTGCGGAGTGTGTTGTGAGAGAGAGGCATGGCTGAAGTCTGCGTGAAGAAGAAAGAGGCCCGACGAGTAGAAGGAGGATCCAGCGTGGAAGGAGGGCAAAGCAAGAAGCAGAGTGAAGACAGGTAAGTCAAGTAGTGGCGATGACAGCTGGCTGCTTTTAGAGTTGGCGAGTAGGATGGTGATGATGGTGGTATTGAGGCCGGGCAGATAGGCGTATTATATGTCCACAGTATCCGACGTGGGGTTGGCTAAGGGGGGAGGGGGCCCGATGGATGGCTCAAGAGACAATTGAATGTGAATCCTGATCAGATCGGTGTGGGGGCTGTTGGCGTTGATGTGTGTATTTATGGTTCTGGGTCGGGGGCAATCAGATTCTCAGGAACCCAAGAGACGTTGTGGTGACAGGTCGATGGCGCTAGACTGAGGGCCGGCGGCAGAGACAAAAGCAGGCCGGACCCTTGTGCCTAGGTAGTGGTTACTAGTACAGAGGTATGGTTAGCACTTGTGCGAGCAGGAGGAGGACCCGGTAGGTACCACTGACTGGGAGAGCTAATGCGGGCAGCGGCCATGCTATCCGTCCGTTGATCGGGAGAGGCAAGGCCTTGTCTCGAGGGTTGTGTCGGGGGTGGGATTTGCGAGTTGGCAGCGTGGCAGCAGACATGTCATATCGGCTGTGAGACGATGCCCTCGTCTCATTCAATGGCCCGCGTCTCCAAGGCGCTCGCAGGGACAGCAGCACCGTCAAGGACTACTAGCAGAGCAATGTACAGAGGCGCCTAAGAGCGGCCGGGCTGAGTACTGAGCAGTACTGCTACTTGTGCCTCCTTCGGGGTGGCTCTATTGGTAGCAAGTACAAGT